GCGCAAAAGAACAAAAAGACCAACTCACTTTCTGCGACATAATAGCTGTCTTTTATCATTCTAAATCCACCTCTAGGTGGCTCTTCAGAGACGATGATGTGGCATCTGATCAGAAATTATACCTGCTTGACTAGTGACGTCTGCGCTAAGTTTAGCAGACGATGCTATTGACTTGTTACTCATTTTTCAGTCAAATACCAAAATTTTGCGATATCATCCTCCATTACAGTTTCACACCACATGAAAAACATATGGATCCATAGTGGGTCCACGTCTTCTTGGTGGGTCCAATTTCTCATATCCCACCTTTTCATTTTATTTTTAAGGATAGAATCATATTTTTTGTACGAAATTCTGTTCTCTATTATATATATGAATTATCACTTTAACTAAAAATGTACATGATTATTTTATATATTTAAATTAAGATATATTAATAGTTTAAAAATATTTCAAAAATATGAGAAAATGCTATGTGGCTATCTCGATTTTCTTTTTATATGTATCTATATTTCTCCACTTATGACAGTGTATTTTAGTTTTAGTCACATCCGGTAAAACTAATTTATTTAAGTTATAGATCACTTTTTAGTGTTTCAGGGGAAAAAAATTACCTTGGAAATAAGTACAGGATCCTCAGAAAAAAGTGGGCACGTTTTTGATAGAACAATTGAATAAGAGAAACTTATGGGCTAAAAGTCTACTCCCCCAAAAAAAAAATCCTTACTGTTTTAAATAAATAAACACAATATTAAGATCTTCCTTGTTATATCAGGTACAGCATCTCAATAAAACAGAATATCACTTATTCTGAGTAATTGTTCTTTAAGTACTCAAGATTATCAGTAATTTCTTGGTTTACTAGTATGTGATACCTGAACCAACCAAGTGGAAGTATCATCTTCGTTGAAGCTTAGAATTATGGTTTGAAGTGGCTCTTTCTTTGCTTCTACCCCTCTGGAAGCTCACATCAAAGTGTATGGAATTCTATTTTAACTCTTTTAAATATGAAACAACTGATCAAATAAATAAAATCTTAGCAATTGATTTTATACAATTTTATACTTGAGGGCTATGTTACAGCACCATAGTAGCATTTATGATTCTCTTTACTTCTTTGGTTGATAAATGGCAAGGAGTTTCAGATTTGGGCAATAATCATAATAATCTGAAAAATATAATCATATGACTAGAAGCATTTCATGTAATATTAATACTCAGCAACTATTGAAAATTGTGAGACAAACACTTAACTGGAGTCTTCTTGTCATTCTTTGTGAATGATAAAGATATGGAGGTTGTGACCTTTGGATTTGAGCCACTCGTTCTGGTTAGTTCTTTTTGAACGATTTAATTGTCTCGGCCAATTTATTGATGTACAATCTGTCAGAGGATGAAATTCAGATTAGGGCGCTTTTAAGACAAGCATCTGGGATTTGGTAATTTGATTCCAAATTCAAACGTCAACTGCAGCTGAACCTGTTATAAAATTTTATATCATGTCCAAAATATGTCCAAACAAAAGGAGATCCCATGCAGAACTCCATTAGTTAATTACATTAGCTATCATTTTCACGCCAATTAAATTATACCTCATATATCATCAGTAATATCAGCAATGAATTTACAGTCATCTTGTAGTGTTTGAGGGACCCTGCCTATGGTAGTTTTTCCTTGTATTAGGAGCCAGCGACCAGCAGAAGTTTGGCAACTGACCTGTTAAGATCATGAAAAATTAGGCTTCCTAAACTTCAAATTATGACAAACATCCTCGACTGTGATGCCAAAAAGACATCATCTACAATATCAGAATTACGTAAATCTGGTCATGTTACTGGATTCTGCATAATTTATATTCCACTGAAGTTGGATATTTATGTCTAAGATATTGATGCTTGTTATCGTTCTCTGAATAAGAAAATAGCATATATGTTTGCGCGTTTCTTTTTGTTGATACATGTTTGCACTTGAATGTGAAACAAATTTTTCTGGGTTTTCTATAAAATGTTCGTAACTCTGATCTTCAGGTTTTAAGCCACAACTAAACTGCCTTGATTTGTTGATTTTGGAAAGAGAAATTAGATGATAACCTGAAGAAGAGATGACAAAGCATCACTGGAGGGAATCCATCAAGTCCTTTTTTGGGAGTCACATTGACCCAGAAAAAGATGAACAGATTAAAGGAACTAAAACTGGTAAAATTCTCTACTGGTAATTTTGTCTATTAGAACACCTAAAAATTGATGTGGCATGATGAAAAGTAGACAGAACCTAATTTTTGTTTACAGCTGAATAGCATGATTCTTCTTTTTGTTGGCCATTCAAATTATAAATTTTAGCCTTCTTCAAATTGTATTAAGTTGCTGTAGAGCACAAGTTAAAGCTAATGTACAAATAATATATTAATCATTGAATCATCCTATTAGCTTAAACTTTAGAAAAAATGGTTTGACCAATTATTTATAATTGTATCAAAAGCAAAAGTCTAGAGGTCAAATTCTTTAAATTGCAGCACGAGATATAGAAATTTTGTTCTTGATCCACACTTTTAGTTCACTATCTTTTTGGGCATGAGAGAGGATTGTTATTGAGTAAATATCTATATCTGTCCATTTCTTATTAACTTAAGTTTTTTAAAAAATTGCTATAATCAATTATTTTAACAAAAAGTACTTCCATAATGCAGAAATCGAAGACAAAGTAATGAAGATTTTGAAGCTTATAAAAAATGAAGACGTTGAAGAAAATGACAGAATAGAAAACTTCAGCAAAGATACACTTGCTGGGTTAATTGAAGATTTTCACAAACATTACAAGCTGCTCTATACACAATATGATCATCTCACAGGAGAACTAAGGAAAAAAGTTCATGGAAAACAAGGGAAGGACAAGAACAACTCTTCTTCATCTAGCTCAGACTCAGACTCTGACTCTGATCATTCTTTAAAAAACCAAAGCAGTAAAAATGGACAAGTAGAAAGTGAATTTCTGAAAATAACAGAAGGCATGAAGCAAGAACTTGAAACGGCGAATGCTGAAGTTGCTGACCTGAAGAGGAAGCTGATAGCAGTGAATGAAGAAAAAGAAGCTCTAAATTCAGAATATCAAACAACTTTGAGCAAGAAACTAGAAAGCGAAGAAATTTCCAGCAGTTTGAAGCTTGAAATTGAAAGATTAAGTGTTGAAAAATCAAAATTTCTGCTTGAGAATGGAGAACTTACTGAGAAACTGGAAGCTTCTGTTAATATAGAATCTGCAATGAATCTAAGATTAGAAGACATGAAAAGAGAGAAAGATATCTTGATCATGGAAAAAGAGACTGGAATGAACAGAATTGAAGAGGGGGAGAAGATTGCAGAAGATTTAAAAACCATGAATGATCAGCTGAAAGATGAAAACATGACTCTTACGCAAGAACTAGGAAAACAGAGAGAGGAAGCGTCCAATATAAAGCAGCAGTTGGAATCTGCAGAACAGCAAATTTTAAATCTGAGCCATGCGCTGAATGCAAAAGAAGACGAGAACACATCACTATGCTTGAAAGTTTCTGATACTTCAAAAGAGATTTTGCAAGCACAGAATGTTAAAAAAGAACTAATTGCTGAATCGATTCAATTGAAAGAGAAACTGGGCGAGAGAGAAAGGGAAATTTCAACTCTGGCAGAGATGCATGAGGTGCGGGGAAATGAATCATCAGCTCTGATTAAAAAATTGGAGGAACAAGTGAAAAGCAAGGATTTGGAGCTGGAGACATTGAGAGAAGAGATGAACACAGAGAAAAACATCATGATAATGGAGAAAGAAACTGCAATGAAAAGAATTGGAGAGATGGAGAAGGTTGCAGGAGATATGGAAATGGAGGTTGATCGCCTGAAAGATGAAAAAGTGACTCTTGCGAAGGAAGTAGGGACACTAAGAGAGGAAGCCTCCAACATGAAGCAGCAGCTGGAATCTTCTGAACAGCAAGTATTGCATCTGAGCCAATCACTGAATGTGACAGAGGAAGAAAATAAATCATTATCCTTGAAGCTTTCAGAAATTTCCCTTGAGATCATTCAGGCACAGGATGTTATAAAAGAACTCATCACTGAATCGAGTCAGTTGAAGGAGAAACTGGGTGAGAGAGAAAGGGATTTCTCAACTCTTGCAGAGATGCATGAGGTGCGTGGGAATGAATCATCAGCTCTGATAAAAAAACTGGAGGAACAAGTGAAAGGCATGGCACTGGAGCTGGAGACAGTGATAGAAAACAAGAACGCAGAGAAAAACAGCATGATAATGGAGAAGGAAACTGCAATGAAAAGAATTGAAGAGATGGAGAAGATTGCAGAAGATTTGCAACTGGAGGCTGATAGACTGAAAGATGAAAAGATGACACTTTTGAAGGAAGTACGTACACTGACAGAAGAATCCTCCAATGTGAAGCAGCAGCTGGAATCTTCTGAACAGCAAGTTTCACATTTGAGACATACATTGAATGCGACAGAGGAAGAAAATAAATCACTCTACTTGAAGATTTCAGAAATTTCACTTGAGATCCTTCAGAAACAGGATGTTATAAAAGAACTCATCACTGAATCGAGTCAGTTGAGAGAGAAACTGGGTCAGAGAGAGAGAGATTTTTCAACTCTGGCAGAGATGCATGAGGTGCATGGGAATGAATCATCAGCTCAGATAGGACAGTTGGAAGCACATGTAAAAGACCTGGAACTGGAGATGGGGACACTCAGAAAAGACATGGACGAAGAAAAGAGGGACATGATAAAGGAGAAGGAGATTGCTATAAAGATTGCAGAGGAGGCAGCTGATCGGCTGGAGGAGGAAAAAGGGTCTCTTGTACAAGAAGTAGATAGATTGAGATATGAAACTTCCAATTTAAAGCAGCAGCTCGAATCTTCAGAAGAGCAAGTTTCAAATTTGAATCGCACTCTGAATGGAACTGAGGAAGAAAATAAATCACTATCCTTGAAAGTTTCAGAGATTTCAAGTGAGCTCCTGCAGGCACAGGATGTCATCCAAAAACTCATGGCTGAATCAAGTGAGTTGAAAGAGAAACTATGTGAGAAAGAAAAAGAACTTTTTACTCTGGCAGAGATGCATCAAGTGCATGGAAATAAGTCTTCTGCTCAAATAAGCGGATTGGAAGCACAGATTACTGGCCTTGAACTGGAGCTGGAATCTCTGCTAGCCCACAATAGAGACATGGAGTTTAAGATAGAGAACAAAGCAATTGAAGCAAAACAACTGGAAGTGCATAACAAAGGATTACTAGCCCAAATATTGGAACTTGAAACGATGTCTAAAGGGAGAGAAGACAAACTTTCTGCTCTCATGAAG